TGAGCATTAATATATTCTTCACAAGACACTCCAGTGGTTTAGGAATTTGGTTTGTTTTGAAATAGTAGCTTGTGAAAAAGTTGAGTATTCAAGTCAAAATCCGAAGAACAATCAGTGAAGTAGCTCGTGAATATTATAAATCTAGTGGAAGCCTTTACACTATCTATGTTGGATATCGTATATTTCTAACATAACCTCGCTCTAGGTTAAATAAGTATTCATTTTTATTTTATTTTTTTATTGATTTTTATTGTTGTTTCTCATCTGCTTGATTTTACTGTATATGTTGTTGTTGCTCATCTGCTTGATTCTTAGGAACCTGCAGTTGCTCAGCAAGCTGAAGGTTGTCTTGGAGAGAGTAAAGCAAGAAGCTCAATGTGCATCATTGAAAGAGAGAGCCCCGGAGCAACATAATAGGCAGAGACTATACACAAGTGGCTAAAATTGGAGAGCAAACAGTTGTGGGAACAGAGTAACAGACTTATGGGTGAAGGAACGAGCTAAGAAACGTTTGGCTTGTGACTGACAAACGAGAAAATAAGCTTGCAAAAGTTTATCTCTGATACCATGAAAAAAGTCTAGCATCCTCATCAAAATTTATGGCTATAGGTGGAGTAGTCCGCGAGTAAAATCAATCTATTTGGTTAACCTTTATACATCTTGGTGTGATGTTTTAATCTTCACACATCCTTTTTTTTCTTTTTTCACATCTCATTCTAATGAATCTTAATTTTCTCAATAGTTCCTCCCGTTGTTTTAGAGTTAATGGAGTTGTTTTTCTTTATTTTCCGGCTGATTGGATTTAATTTTAATTTTTAACATATGTCATGATGACATATTCTTTGATGGCATGATTGATGCCTTGATATCCTTTGGAAAAAAAATCCCCAATACTACATGAAAATTTGAAAACAACAACAATAATAGTATAATGAACGCAATAAGCAGCCATGACTTTTAAATTTGGACTTGGACAAACAAAGTGGCGGGTGACAGACAACCTCTAGATTAGTTAAATGCGGTTCTCTATATTTGAAATTTTAGTATCACTTATTATAAATTAAACGTTTCTTTATTTGTTACAAAATACTCCATTACAACATTATTCCGATAAAGACTCGTTATCATGGTTTGTTTAAAATATTAAAATGTATTGGAATCTCTTTTTTAACCAACTTTATGTCAAATTGACTGCTAAACCAAAATTATGTAATGATTATTAGAAGACAAAATGAAAGAATAGAAGATAATTTTTTTTTTTTAATTAATTAAATTTAAATTTTCGTCATAAGTTAAAATCAGACAAATAAATTTAAACGGAGTTAAAATATATCTGTATAGGCACAAAAAAGGTGTTAATTAAGATGACAGGGAAAAAGGTTCGTCATCGCGTCCGTCAGGTCCGGCTTTCCTAATTTCAGTATATATATATTTGTGCTGAAAACGAACAAGAAGATTTAAAAATAAAAAGAAAAAAATATATATATACTCAGGGGAATGCAAGCAGCGGCGATGGCGGCTCAACCAGTAATCAAGGTAGCTGGGCTTTGCGGTTCCCTCCGTAAAGGTTCCTACAATCGCGGTCTCCTCAATGCCGGTATACTTTTTATTTTTCCTGTTTATTTTTAAAAATTATTGTTTCAGTATATGCATTTGGTGCTTCCGTGCTTGTAATTGCAACTCATGTTGTGTGATTGTTGGGCTTAGCGATGGAGATATGCAAGGATTCTATAACGGGAATGGAGATCGAGTACGTCGACATATCGCCGTTGCCGTTTCTGAATACGGATCTTGAGGTGAACGGGACTTATCCCCCGGTCGTCGAGGCTTTTCGTAAGAAAATTGAAGAAGCTGATTGTTTCCTTTTTGCTTCTCCAGAGTATAATTACTCCATCACAGGTATCCAACTTTTTTACTTTTTTTTTTTTTTTTTCATTTTTCTCTAATTGATGCTCCTTAGTCTTTAGCTACCTTGAAGTTAATTAGACTTAGAATGATTGTTAATTTTGGAAATTTTACGATTGTTAGTCTAAATTTAGGTAAAAAGTAGAATAGTATGCAAGGTTCCTCGAATCAAAATTAGCTTGGTTCTGGAGAAGGAGGATAAGAACATGACAAGTATGAATTGACATTTCCAATTTATGCTTTTATTGGTCTGAGATTTGATTACTGTAGTGCTATTTCGACTTCTAAGTATGCACGGAGAATCTTAAAACTTGTTATCATGCATGATTATTTATGGTGAGCCACAGAGCTTGTTATATCGAAAAAGGAACAAAAGGAAAAGAAAATTAAGAAAATGTTGAAAGCTAGCAAAGGGAAAATAATTGGTGTTCTAGATTGAGGTGATTCTAAACGGTTTTGGTGTGAATTCAACCCCATGGTCACTATTGCTAATTAAACACACATACTTATTTGGTGCAACTTTAGCTTTTGTTTGATAGAGGTTGAAGCAGGAAGATGCTTCAAATGGAAATGGTTCTTTTGCAAAAAATGATAGCATACATAAGCTGTACTTGAAACTGTTATTGCTAAAGAAAAAGTTCAGTGTTAGCACAAAATGATAATATGAAAAATATTTGTAGTATGAGCTTCTTTAGAAGATCAATGAGAGCAAAATTAAGAACTTGAAAAGATTCCCTTTATATATATATATTAAGAAAAAGAACTTGATGGGATACCTAACTAAATGTATTTGGCTGTAAAACTGTGAATAAATGAATGTGGTAACTAGCTGGAACTTAACGTCCAACATCTATAGACAGCTGAAATACTCCCAAAGACTGTTCAAGTTAAGGTGTGGGAGAGATGTCTTCTCAGCTTGTCTTTCAGGTTGATATGATGAATAGTTAGTATATCTTCTCTTATGTTCTTTTATGGGTTAACTTGGTTCATCTGATTGGACGAGCGAGCTTTAAATGTGTTGTATCTGTTACTACAATGGGTGTGACCACTTGAGTTGAGGTAATCATAGTCTGTACATCTTAATACAAACAGATAATTTGGTCCCCTAGTTTAAATCCAACCCATTTTAATCTGAAAGTATGGTAGATTAGGCTGTGGATATGCAAGTAGCTATAGGTTGCTAAACTAGTGTTGATGGATTTTTACTTCTTGTGATGACACTCTTGGTACCGATGACTATCATTTTCCTGCTCCTTGGGTAGGACCGTTGAAGAATGCGATTGATTGGGCATCTCGACCTCCAAATGTTTGGGCTGATAAAGCAGCAGCAATGGTGAGTGCTGGAGGTGGCTTTGGTGGAGGACGATCACAATATCACCTCCGACAGATAGGAGTCTTCCTTGATCTTCATTTCATTAACAAACCTGAATTTTTCCTGAACGCGTTCCAGCAACCACCTAAGTTTGACAGTGATGGTGTGCTGACAGATGAAGAAACCAAGCAGAGACTCAGAGCAGTTCTTTTGGCTTTACAAGCACTTGCCTTGAAACTCAAAGGCAAGTGTGAATAGTTTCTACCAGTAAATGTGGTCCATTTCTTCACCCAATGTGGATGGTAAAGAATTGACATTTCCACCTCACATGGGAAAAAATATCTACTTATAGACTTTTGAAACATCTGTTCAGTTGATTGAGCGTGTTAGCAGGATTTAAATTGTAATTCAAAGTTTCATGGTGATTGATGTACTGGCTCCAACATGTTTCTCTGTCTTTCGTTTTCTGTTCTGTCAGCAACACATTTGTTTTACAAAATATCATCAATACATATACTTCGAATAGACTAGTGGTCCAACATGTGTTCATACCCAAGTTCAGCTCACCCCTTGATACTTTTCATGGAAAAAGAAGAAAAATCACAAATGACAACTTTTACAACAACTGTTTTTTTAAAAGTAAGTCACAGTGTCAAAACTAATCGAGTTTGAAGTCATTTTTCATGAAAAAAATTATTTTGCATATTTTTTAATGTAAAGGATATAATTGGAAATAATTCTCAACTTAAATTTTGAATTCCTTTAATAAAATAACAATTTTTTTGAAATAATTTTTTTAAAATTAAAATGACAATTAGGATGGAATGAAAGGACTATACTTTTGGTATTGATAAACATGAGATGACTTGCAAGGCACGTAGCGCTTTGCGATGAACGAGTACTCCCTTTATTGCTTGACTCAAGCACGTTGATTTGACACAATTTTTATGAAAAATTTACTTATGTTGTGGAATTCTAAATTTGACTACTTCTACTTTATGTAGTTATTTAATACTATTTGAACTTAATTTTAAGCTTAATATATTGATAGCTCCTTAAATTTTTGAGAAATTTTATTTAAATACTCGAATTAGTATGTTTGTTAATTGATCACCTAAATAAATGAAAAAAATCTTTAGTGTGTGTTTCAACTGGCATTACGTAGATAAGTTAACCATTTAAATATGTTATTTCTTTTAATTATACACGTTAACAATAAACTGAAAAATCTCAAACATGTTTCAGTTGATGCTGATGTATATACAATTAAGGGAGATGAGTGATGACATGTATGTTTTATGTGGTTAACTTATCAACATATTAATGGATACTTGAAAATACGTACAAACTTTTTTTTTTCAAAATTTAAATTAAAAAAAATCTTTTAAAATATTTTAGCATGCATTCACTTACTTACGTGGAATAAGTCGTAATTCGTGTTAATTTTAACCTCAGTCACGACTCATGATATACTCTATCATTGCATGTCATTTAATCAGACATGTTTACTTTGAATAGTGCAAGGTCAAAGGACAATTATATTTACCTTATATATGTTGTATGGGTATAAATTTATTTTTGATCCTTTATATACACTGCTACACATAAAAAGTCCTTCATGTTTCAAAAAGTGGACACTTTTAGTCCTAATTAAGCTAAACATAAAACCTATAATTAACTAACCTAAAAAGGAATATTATACTGTATTTTGTATGATAGAAGAGACAGAGAGTGGAAAAACAGTCAACATTCACTGAGGTTCGTAGAATCATATCTTACGTAAAAAAGATTTCATAATTTAAAAACAACAATATAGAATAATAAACGCAGCAGCCATGACCTTTCTTTGTTTGGACAAAACAAGTGGGTGGCCATGGAGATAATAACCTTTTTTTTCTTTAATCCAAAACCCTGAAAATGTTGAACAACGATCATACTAATAATAATAATAATAATAATAACTACGCTTCAATTCCAAACAGGACAATTTTCACCGGTAGAAGCTATTCAGACTTGCCTTTTGAGTCTCAAGGCAAATGCCTGTAAAGCCAAAAGAACTGCTTTGAGTTTGTGCTTGGTTTCTTCATGTATCAGCACACCGTTGCTGTCAAACTTTGGTGGTGACTCAAATGCAAACACAAAAAGTTCAGGCTTGTTAATGAAATGAAGATCAATGTAGATTCCAATTTGTCGAAGGTGATAGTGTGCTCGTCCTCCACCAAAGTTACCTCCAGCACTCACAATTGCTGCTGATTTATCCGCCCAAACATTAGGAGGTCGAGATGCCCAATCAATTGCATTTTTCAACGGTGCTAAATAAAAAAAACAGAGTAAAGAGTTAACTATATATGTTCAAATTCTGTATTCATAAATTCAAAATTCTAGCTCCGACTCTAGGAAATTGGCGTAGTACCTGTGACGGAGTAATTGTACTCAGGAGAAGCAAAGAGGAAACAATCAGCTTCTTCAATTTTCTTACGAAAAACCTCCACATCGTCTGGATAAGTTCCGTTCACCTCAAGGTCCTCGTTTGTAAACGGCAACGACGATATATCGACGTACTCAATCTCCATTCCCTTTACAGAATCCTTGCATATCTCCATTGCTATGCGCAATTACAAATCATCAATCACACAATATCATTAGAAGGTTTTATTTCTTAATTGTTCTGCTTAGAAATGTGGTGCAGTATTTGTTCCTTCCTTAATTAAAATTTGAGCCTTCGCTATAAAAAAAATCATGATTTCCGCATTACCCCTAAATGAAGCCCTATTCGGCGTGAATCTAGATTAATTGAGCTCAAATATGAATATTAAACACCAGATGAAAAATCAAAAAAGAAAAAAACAGTTCTTTAAAAGAGAAATAGAGGAGGGAAAAAAAGTGTACCAGCATTGAGGAGACCGCGATTATAGGAGGCTTCACGGAGGGAACCACAGAGTGCTACTACCTTGATTACTGCTTCAGTCGTCATCGCCACTTTGGTTATTTTTATTTTTTCTTTCTTTTTTTAGTCTTCTTCTTCTTCTCTTGTAGTAATTACTTACTTTTTAGCATCACAAATTTATATACACGAATTAGGAAGACCTGACGGATGCCATGACGAACAGTGAAGATTATTTTTCCTGTCTTCTTATGAATACTTTTCATTTGTATTCATCAATCATTTGGTTGGACTAATGTATGGATTAATCACCAAGATATTTATATATATTATTTTATACCGTGATTAGTTATCCATCTTTTATCATGCTAAAATAATAAATAGAATCTCTCAATATAAGTGCATGTATTAATTTTAGGGAAATAATTCTGAAAAATACTTTAACTTTGATCGAAATTGTTGTTACGATATCAAACTTTATAGAAGACCTTTTATTCCTGCACTATTTAATAGTGTTTTTTAAAGGTATATATGTGTCCACATGGACACATTACTAGTTATAATGATGCAATATTTATGATGTCCACGTGGACACATATATACCTTTAAAATACACTATTAAATAGTGCAGGGGTAAAAGGTCATTTCCAAAGTTCGGTATTGTTACAACAATTTCAATCAAAATTTAGTTATATTTCAGACATTTTTTCCTTAATTTTATAGGTTTCTAAATAGTAGGTCAAATACAATACTAATTTTATACTTGAATAATTTACTCTTAAGGACTCCCTATGTCCCTAATTACTTGTCCACTTTGAATTGACACACCTATTAAGAAAATAATGATTGACATAGTGAATTTATCATTTTACTCCTATTAATTATGAAGTAGATAAATTAAAAACTTAAGATTTTCAAGAAGTGTTACCTTTTTCAAAGTAATTACAATTGAAGATATAATAGTTAAATTTTTTTATCCTTTCTTGATTTGTCAAAATGGACAAGTAATTAGGAACAACTAAAAAAGAAAAAGAACAACTAATTAGAAACAAAGGAAATAGTTATCAAAATTCAATCATAGGAGTAATATTAAGTATTTGATATTTGCCTAACTCATATCTACACCTGTTACCAAACGACCCTTTAGTTTTCCTTTTAGCTCTCTAGTCTTTTGAATTGAAATCAGGAGGGCTTTAATATTGTCATACTTTTTCATTATCCTTAGCTGGAAATATTTTGTTTGACCAAATTACATATTAACCGGAATGCGTATACAAATAGAGGTAAGATATGTCAGTTTTTTTTCCCCCTTAAATCATTAATATAGCAATTTTTCAATCTACAGAATCCCCACTCCTGACTCCCCTATAATTATAGATGTTCAATATTAATTTCGAAACGTGTTTAATAATATATTTGAAAAGTAGTCTTCTCCTTCAGCAGCAGGAGCAACAACAAAACCCTTCCTTCAGGTTTGAGCGTCCAAGACCTTTGAAGATGGAAGAGTTTATGTGTCCCCTCCCCCAAGATTGATTAGAAGATATTCCAGAATTCAAAGAACTTTTGTGTTCCTTCACCATTTTCTTATCCTGTTGAATATTTTAAGTTTTGTTCATTCTAGATATTGTGTTGCTTTTTCAATTTTATTTTTAAAAAAATATATATTTGAAAAGTATATCACATGAATTATATTTATAATCTCTAAAAATTATAAAAGTAACCAATTGAACTGAATAAACATATTTGTTAATTTCAAATCATGTAGAATCTTTATTAATGACATTCATTATCAGTATCACAAAGCATAATCTGATGTATAGATAAGTTTGACACAAATTATCATTTTTAATAAAGAATGAATATTATCTTAAAGGCTTTAGTCAGACACTTAAAGTTGTTCGCATAATTCACTTAGATACCTTAAATTAGAAATAATACTTGTTGAACATTTTTATTATTCAAAACAGATATCTATTAGACACTTTTCGCTGACATGACAAAAATGGTGCAATACACCCATATTGAGCGCGTGAAAGGGGTATTTTTAGCTTTGTTTAATTATATTTTTGTAATCTCTTTCTTTCGTAACCATAACTTCTTCCACCACCAGTTCACCGCCTCCATTTTCATCATTGCCACTGTCATCGTCCCCACCACCATCAACCCATCTCCTCCCTCTTTTTCTTCAGTCGCCTCTCCCTCTCCCAGTCTTCCTTACCAGTCGTTTTCATTGTTGGGTTATGAAGGGTGATTAGGGCGTCATGCGGAAGCTTACTATTTGCAAATCGTATAGTTGATAAATCAGATAACAAAAACTTATACTAAAAATCAAAATATTATTATATCAAAACTAATATAAAGAAAAACATTGAAACTTTAGAGAGAATAAATCTCCCCATAAACAAGAATCTTAAACGACTACATTGTGGATTCTATTGTGTTATGCTATGAGAATAGGGATCTTCAATTTATAGATCTCCAAACATTTCCTATAAGGAAAGAATAAACCAAATATGGAAGAAAATTATATTTTCCTTTTAGAAAAAGTTCAAGCATTTATGGTAATACTTTGACTTTTCTTTAAGGAAAAAATAAACTTCAAATAAGGTAAGAAAATCAGGGCAAAACCCTAACATTCATATGGAAAACATAATTACCAGTCGTTTTTTTCAGATTTGTTATTATGGCAGCCAATACATCCATTTCTTCCTCTTCTATTAAGCAATAACTACCATCACCTCTGCCATTTACATCGATATTTGGTCGTGTTTATATTTTTCATCAACGCTATATCCCTTTTCTTTTTATTATTATTTCTACCGTCACTTTACCTCCTCTATCACCATTGAATCTATATCTGCCATCAGAGACGTATCTAAGGGGGTCACCGGATTCACGTGAACCCATGGTCTCCTCCCAAGATCATATATAGTAGTGTTATAATTTTAAAAAATATTGAAATATAGATGCGTGAACCCATACTTCAAGTATCAAATAATGCAATTATGACTGGGTGCTCCTCTCTTCGCGGGGTTAGAAAGTTGAATTTTATATTTATCTTGTTTTATTTTTCTTTCTAAAATTAGATTACACTTCTCTAAGTGGTAATTGGTATATAAGAATTAATTTTAGACCTATAATTTTAAAATTTTAACGGTTTTCAATAGTAAAAACCTAAATGTCGAACCAATCAAATTTATATCATAGATCAACCTTTATATAACAATGCACCCATCATCTCAAAATCTTGGATACGCCTCTGTCTGCCATTGTTGATTTAGAAGATTAGAAAAAAAAAAGGGAGAGTAGTGTTCTGATAGGTAGTAGGAAAGAATTTGGGTGGGTATTGTTAATTATTAAAGTTTTTTTTTTTTTAAAAAAAATTGAATCTGATCGATCTGCCATTGTTAATCTATGATAAAAAACCGAAAACAAAAAGAGAAAGAGCCGGTGGGGGGCTGATTCTTATGGGTTGCAGGGAAAGGTTTGGTGGGTGGGGGAATTGTGCAGATTACAAAATTTTATTTTATTTTTTATTATTTAAAATATTTTTTTTCACTCATATTGAATTATATTTTTTAATAATTTTTTGGATCCCACTGACACATGTCATAACTTTATTCGTCATAGCGAATGTGTCTCACACACTTAATATTTTTGGTTGATTGTCCAAAAAATGTCAAATAGGTGACAATCCTAAGTATTAGAAGTGTTCAATAGGTACAAGACTTAGTTAAGGTGTTCAAGTGAAATATGCGGACAACTTTAAGGGATTGTGTATGACTTAAGCCTATCTTAAAAATTGTAATACGATATTTTAATAAGAACTGATATTGTCCAATTAAGTCATGGATATAATTCACATCCATAAACTGGCTCAAGGGAAGATGAGTGTTCAGATTTTATTAAGAGCCCATAATTCTCATCCTATAGACCTATACCGATGTAAGATTCATTCTATTCATCCCCCTTCACATCAAGCTTGACACAAACATTCTTTATCTAGAATTTTACTGCCTACCACAATTTGTCAAATTACAGTTAGTTACGAATATCTATCAGTACAAATAAAATAATTAACGGTGGTAATTATCTATTGTTAAATATTATTTTTTTCACATAGATAGGGATTTTCTATTAAAAAAATAATATAAACTTTGGGGCAAGTTTTAAACTGGGTCAAATACCAATATATACCGGCAACAAAGAAAGAAATTCAACAAAATGGTCATATTTATATGAAATGTAATGTATTAATATTGTATAAATAGTATATACCGTGTGTATATGATGTATAATTGTGTATTAAAGACATATATACATACATATACATTATCTATACAATATTTATATATTACATCCGTTCATTTTTCTCAATCGACAATTATATAATTTTAAATTTTGTGTTTAATTTAACATTGTCACAAAAAAGAGGAGAAAAGGAGTAATATTCCATAATAATGAAATATTATAATCAAAATAATTAGAAAAGGGATCAATAAATATTAGAATCAAAAGAAGAAAAGGAAGAAGGAAAAATCAACGAGATGGGCCGAATGCACTTCGGTAGAAATAGTTCGTTCTCCTGTCAATCAGGGCCCAGCCCATTATCAACAATTTTGAATTTGATAATGGGCAAATAATTGGGGAAGTGTGCAAATTCCTCTATTTGAAATCGTTATTTAATTTGTATTTTTATTTTTTTTGGTGGTGTAATTTTATCTCTTTTGATAACAACTTCAAACATATGCGATTGGAATCAAAAATTTATTTCAATTTTTAGATATTTTTGTGTGAAATGTGGCTCTTGTGAAGGCCAAACATCAAATATTTTTGTCTGAAATTTGGTATGACTTGCTAATATCAACTTCATATATTATTTATTGAATTTATAGACTTGACAAGACCAAACTTCGAAAATCTTTTACTAAAATTTTACCTGATTAACCAAAACTTAACTTTAAACATTTTTTACTGAAATGATAACCTTATCAAAATCAAATTTCAAACATTTTTTAAAAAAAAATAGCCAACTTTTTCATTACTCACCCCATCTACAATCAGCTTTAATCTATAAAAATATACAGTCTAGACGGATACACTTCAAG